TACTCCTCCTGTTCCGTCTGGTTCTCCTCTGTTCCAGCTCCTTCTTTTCTGTTCGAACTTGCTTTCCTCTGTTCCAGTTTGCTCCAGCTCCTGAGACTTTGTTTTTTTCTCTTCTTTGAATGTAAAATCAACCTAATTTCAAAACACTAAATGTGACATTTCAGTTTATTTCAAGAAGATCATATTCAGCCAGTGGCAAATGAGCACCTGTTTCTTGATTAGCCACATGGGGGTACTGCTTTTATTCCTAGCCATTTTAATACCATAGCCCCCAGGACCTCAGACCTCTCCTTTCACTGTCCCACAGTCTGCAAGCTGAATTCAGGAAAAGCCCACATGAATGACCTCCTCAACTAGGAAGACTTCTAATAAGAAAAGAGCACATGAATGTGTTGTTTGCTCCCCCCATACATGTGAGGAAGCTTGAGGTCAGTATAGAATTAAAACATTAGAACACTTGGGAACCCCAAAATTTTACCAATGGTGCTGACGTTCTAGAAAATATTTGAACATACATGAAAAATTCATTCTCAAGGATACTATGCAGTTGTAACCAATCAGCTGGTAAAGGGACAGACAAAATGTGGTCCACCACACAGTGGGGTGAGACCCATGGAAGGAATGACACTCTGATGCAGGAGAAGTCAGGGGTGAATCTCAAAAGCAGTTGTGCTGAGTAAAAGAAGTCAGACACAAGAGACCCCATAGTGTCTGATTCCATTTGTATGAATGATCCAGGACAGAAAGCACACAGGTGGTTGCCAAGGGTAGGAGGGGTCTTTCTGGAGGGATAGAAATGTTCTAAAACTGACCTATGGTGATGGTTGTACCGCTTGGTAAAGTTGCTAAAATCCTCTTAATTATACACTTGAAATGAGTGAGTTTTATTATACATAAAATATACCTAATAAAGTTGTTTTATTTTATTTTTTAAATTAAAAGTAGGCTCCACACCTAATGTGGAGCCCAAAGTGGGACTTGAACTCCTGACCCTGAGATCTAGATCTGAGCTGAGATCAAGAGTCAGATGCTTAACTGACTGAGGCACCGCAAAGTTGTTTTTTTTAAAATATATATATAAAGAATGCTGTGGGTTTTTCTGGTCTAGCTAGAATGAGAGCTGTTAAGAGAGTTATAAGACATTAGCACTGTAAGAAGTTCAGGAAGAGACTAAGGGACAGGAAAGCAAAGTCCGGATTGGTTTAGGGTGCCCCACAGGGTCTTAGGTGCCAACTAGCTCTGGCCAAGACCATCTCTCCCCTCAGTGGGGCAACACAGGCCCTGGGGGTTGCAAGGCTGGGGGTTGAATCGGCTTGCTCTGTCTGTGGTATGGTTCATCCCCTGTCAAGTGCAGTGTAGAAGACAGGGCTGAGGAGCAAGCCCACAAGCCTCAGCCACTGCTGTCTCCTCCAAGCTGGTGCATGAACATGAGCCCTCCCCTTCAGGGTGATACAGGAGATCCAGGTCCCCCTTCTCTGGGTGATGCAGGAGGTCCAGGTCCCCCTTCTCTGGGTGATTCAGGAGAGCCCAGTTCCCCCTCTCTGGGTGATGCAGGAGGTCCAGGTCCCCCTTCT